GGACAAAGAAGGTAATAAGTTAGATAGAGAAGTTTATAGGAAACCCACTAACGTGGGACATAATTATGACTATTGTGGTGCATGCTTTTCACAACTAAAATTGTTATACTATTTGAGGTTAATGCATGCTTGTCGTTAAAATCTATAAAGTGCTCAAGATCTTAGGTTAAAATATTGAAGATTTATGTACAATTTCTGATCCAATTAAGCACCTATCTCAAGTATTCATACCAGAAAACTTGGAATGATCCATCTAAAGCTATATTTGTGTATAACAACTCATTTATTAGTTTGGCGTACTTCATTTTCCTTTTTTCAGTTTCTAATCCGCCTTCTGCGGGACAGAATGTCCCTTATTCCTTGAACATATAAATCGAAATAGGTCCTCTATTGTCATTGTTGGAGCGGTAAACCTTAGAACATGGCTTGCAATCGCTAACAAATTTCATAATGAGCTTGAAACTTTAAGTAATCTGAATGCATTTTAGAAATTAACTAAGTTATTTAAATAATTACAATATAAGGTATCAATTATAAATCATTTAAAAATAGTTTATTATTTTGGTTGTTATATTACGATAATTGCAATTTACCTCTAAGTAGATTATACTGATCTTTACTATCATTCACTATTTTGTTTTTCTCCCTTTTCACATTGCAGGGGCGGCCTCACTTCCGCTCGCGTCTACTGCGCCAACCCGACTGGATTCTGGGGACCCGTCACGATGGTCAGTGTTTTATTTTTTTCTAATATTCTACATTTTTATCTCATCTCCTTAGTGCTTAATTAACTTTATTTTTATTTGTATCTCGCATGTGCTGACCTGTACCTTTTGTTTCAGGTGAACTTTACTGTTGACCAGATTCGGCGTTTAATGGATTGTAAGGCTAATATCCGCAATATGTCCGTTATTGCCCACGTGGACCACGGAAAATCAACTCTAACTGATTCCTTAGTCTGCAAGGCCGGCATTATTGCTGATTCGAAAGCTGGCGAGGCTCGGTTCACTGATACACGCAAAGATGAGCAAGAACGTTGCATCACCATAAAGTCTACCGCAATTAGTCTCTACAACCAGATGTCTCTAGAAGATTTAACCTACGTAAGATCTGTTCAGCCTGTTGCCGTTGATAAGGATGGAAAGGACGAGCGCGGCTTTCTCATCAACCTAATTGATTCCCCCGGCCACGTCGACTTCAGCTCTGAGGTCACGGCTGCCCTCCGTGTCACAGATGGTGCTCTCGTGGTAGTTGACTGCGTTTCTGGAGTGTGTGTACAAACCGAGACTGTTCTACGGCAAGCTATCTCTGAACGAATTAAGCCTGTTTTATTCATGAATAAGATGGATATGGCTGTCTCTACACTCTCTTGTGACAAGGAAGAGCTCTACCAAAAATTTCAGCGTGTCATCGAGAATGTGAATGTAATTATTGCTCAATTTGGT